TTTAACTGTGATTATCATGATCTAAATGTATGTTATGGAAGACCAATGGTTAAAAAAACATCTTAAACAGTCAGAATAATTAAATTTCACCATATAAAAATGAGATTGCTACAATTTTTATAGATATGATTGATTTTGATAATTAACATAAATCTACATCTGCATCCTAACTCAAGCTACTATCAAATGTGTATAAGAGACAAAAAAAAGTTAATTAAATGTAAATTAAAATGTAGGCTTATATTATCAGGCAACACAAACTTGTTTCTTGATTTGAAAAAATATTACTCATTACTAGAACATGCAGAACTAAGAAATTATTTTTTTCTATTTAGATATTTATTTTAATGCAAAAATGACTGGTGAAGTGTAAAGAATTCAAAAACGAAGTGTTTGTCATGTTATGACCATAAAGAATAGTTGAAAACCACAATTAACCATCTGGTTTTTACAACTTTCGCATTGGAGCAAAAATCTGCCTTTAAACTTGAAAGAAAAAAAAATGTTACATTTATCGTGATAATTATTGAGCCTGATTTTGGCTGTCATGAGTTTAAATAGAGTTTGATTGTATTTATTTAATCTGTCTGCAGAGGCCCAGAACTATTGTAACACGTACTGTAGGAAAATTTTGTACTGAACACTGCTTCTCTGATATGGAAAGCCTTTTGGGATTTGAAGATTTAACTGGGGATTAAATTGTTTTTTTAAACCGTAAATTTGGCATTTATCTTTATGGCTCCATTTCACACACCTTTGATGCTGGCTGTACAGGATTTACCCCGCAGGAATGGTATAATGGAAATCAAACACAGTTTTGATGATAATTAAATTTTAAACGGTAATACTAACCATCAGGGTATTTTATCGTGATTTATCGTGAAACCGGTAATCGTTCCATCCCTATTTCCTATGCTGATTTACTTGCCAACAAAAACACCCCAATCATTGATTATTTTTTTTTCAAATAAACTATTCCAGTCATGTGGTGATTTTTTTTTCATATCGCAATATATATCGCAGAAAAATAAAATATCGCAATGTGAATTTTTTCCAATATTGTGCAGCCCTACTTTGCGTTGTCATCGTCCAAAAGTCAAAAGGTTTTTAAATTAGTTTTTAATTAAATGCCTGAACTGAGGCCTGTGATTAACACAAGCTCAAGATATTTGCACATTTCATTCAATGACATAAAATACATAATTTCCCCCCCCCCTTAAAAAAAAAAAGAAAAAAGAAAAACCTGTCTTGAAAGGCAGTTGCTCCGAGGCTGTGAAAATTGAAGTCAAGTGACCACGGTGTAGTTTGTTTAGCCATATTTATCTTTTTAAATCTTGCAATTGTATTTAGGCTTTAAAACTCACACAAAAAGTTGTTCGTTTGTGAAGATTATCATGATTAACTAAAAGTGTAAGATTCAAAAAATTTCTTCAATAATTTAAAAGCCACTGCAGAAACCGTATGTTGCTACCAGGGTGAAGCTAACTTCGTGGTTGCCCTACAAAAGCACTGTATATTGCGCTGTCAAATGCAGCATGCTAAACTAATTCAGTTCAGCAACTTTGCGTTTAATATTATGCTAATGATCAGTCCCTTGAGAGATAGTGTTAACATTGTTTGGTAAGATGAAGAAATTATGGAGTGTAGTTTTTCACTATATAATTTGTCTCTGATTACATGGATATAAAAAAGTGGTTCATGGGAAATGCTATCAGAAATTGTCTGCATTCTTAAGTTTCTTTCATGGGTTCACAATCATTCAACTTTTCTCACATGACATGCATGAGGCTCTGTTGTAATTTATGCAAACACTTCCTAGCAGGATGTTAAAGTTGCGATATAATAGTTGTAGTGACAAATCTTTTCTTCAATATTGTGATGAGTGAAAAATTTAATCCAGAAAAAAACATGCAGGGCAGGGACTTGATTCTGTCCATCAGTTGTTGATTTGGATGTAGGCAGATGTAAATACGAGCTTGTAGTCAATCGTTAAGAAGGATTGGGGTTTAAGCAGACTAAATGATTGGAGAACTCCGGCATACATCACCAGATTATGAGGTAAAAATAAGGTTTAAAAAAATGGATGGATGAATCCTTCACAATAAGATTAATAACATGTGTTTAGAAAATAGGCGATGTTTCCATTTCATGATGTTTCACACTAACATTTCATGATGACTTCAATAGTAGTAATCAAAATATGTACTAGAAATGAGGTGTCACATTATTCTGCAGCATTTTGAATGAAATTAAGGTTTGTTCTGTCAATCCTTCATAACAACAAGAGGAAATTAGATTATCTTTAATGCCTTTTTTTCTCTTTATTCACAGAAGTCAGAGGTGGAGAAACACGTTTGAAGGACTCTGAGCTGCCAGACGTGTAAATCGTAAGTAACTACTTGATGTACAAATTTTATCTTCTGTTACTGAATAAAAACCTGGATTCAGAACTTCACTACCATTCGAAAGGCTGTATTTATTTAATCAAAAATAGAGTAAAACCATAATATTGCAATTTAAAATACCTGTTTTCTGTTTTGATATAAGATGTAGTTTATTCCTGTGATGGCAAAACTGAATTTTCAGCAGCCATTACTCCAGTCTTCAGTGTCAAAAATTCTTTAGAAACTATTGTAGTATGTTGATTTGGTTCTTAACAAGCATTTCTTATTATTATCAGTGTTGAAAGCAGTTAAGCTACTAAACATTTTTGTGGAAACTGGTGTATATTTTTTCTTAAATCAGGAAGGGGGCCAACACTTTTTCACACCACTGTATATAATTTTATTTATTTATTTTTTCCACTTTTCTCTGTTTATGGTGTACCAAACAAGCTGTTGTTGCAGTCGTTGATCCTACTTTGGTTTTGTTTGAGATTATGGGTAGTTTGGCAGTAATTAGACTCCATCAGCAAATATTGGTGGAAACTGATTCATCCCAGTGACTTGAATCTTTTTCAGTTTTCCAAGATTTGTTTAGATTCATTTACTGATTGACATCTGATTTGAATTTTAATGTTTATTTTAATTTTCTCTTTACTTGTACTAAAAATAAATCTCCATGTTGGTTCTGAATTTACAATTAATTTTGCGCTTTGAGATACTGCGTTTTAAAGTTTTTGATATGGTACCTTCACGCTTGCTACAAATGCTTTTGAGACAAGCAGTCCATTCAGAACACTTACCACCATTTGTTGTCTTCTCCCGGATGGGATGGCTGTACCATTCACAGGATGAAAGACAGGAGGAAGAAAATAAAGGTGGAGAGACCAACTTTCACACTTCCCGTCAATGTCGGTCACAAGACCCACAGTGTGCAGCCCTGCTACACTAAAGAGGGGTTTTTGTGAGAGAGGCAGCTTCATATTCAAGGGTCCATGTTTGTTTTTGTGTCTCTGCATTTGCTTGGGGAGTTGTGTGCTTGGACGTTCAAGCAACTGGTTAATAATGTATGTCTTGTCACGCTTTTGTGAAATAAAGGTAAACTGATATGGTGCAGAGGGGGCAGCTCTTTCATTGATGAATTTTTAAAGAGCTGCACTGCTAGAGGCCACTGGGCTGTTTATAATACCTTGCTTTAAAAAGATGTGTTGAGCTGAGAGAGAGTCTGCGAAAAATTGTAAGAGAAATGACAGGGGTAGAAAGAGGCTGACGGCCCCCTAATATGAAATATTATATATCAGTGATGAATTATACATAAGCTCTGAATGCAGTATGAGCTGCACAGTATGATTTGATAAGCGTGTTTTTTTTTTTTTATGTATAAATCTGCAGGCAGCACAAATGGACTAAAGAGTGTGAGTCTCTGAGGGATTCCCGCACATAGTATGGTCTAATCCAATGCGTAAAGGCAACTTGAAATCCTGATTGACCCTGTTTGCTTCCTCAATAAATTCTACTGGTCTTAATGTTTGTGGTTTATCAGTGCACATCATTTTAAATATATATATATAATTTAAAAAAAAATAATTTCCCCCAGTCGATAGTCAGTATAATAATATTTCCAACTACTTTTGGGGAAAAAAATAACCCAGTAAAAATCATAAACTAAAATTCCAACTCAAATCTGCATAATAACCCCCACCACACTAACATTATTTCACTCTGCATATTGTTTCATTCAGAAATGCATCACATTATGAGGATGAAGTACATTTGTTAATATGGTTTTATTTCAACTTCATATACTAATTGCATAGTGTATGAGAAAAAAACACACAGATTAAATCACTATTTAATATGCTGCATGTTGATATTTGTATTCTCAGGCATATCATATGCTTAACTGTTAATTATCGGTTTACTTAGAAATATGTGTGATTGCATACATTTGCTGATACATAAAACATTATATATTGTTATATATTATTCATGGTCCCTTATCAATATTTCAGGAATTTATCACATACCCAGCATGTTAATGGTAAATATAAATATCTGTTTGTAAAAGTCTCAGTTGTTCTCTGACCATTTCAAGGAAATTCTATGAAGTCTTCCTGAAGTCTTCTCGAATTCAAAACAGTTTTTCTGGTAAAATGTACATGATATATTTGTTCAATTAGGAACTAAGAATTAAGTGCCAAATGCAGAGTAACTTGCTGGTGACTGTTAAGTTACGTGGTTACGCAGATTTCAGACTTTTTAGCCGATTTTAGAACACTTTTACTGCATCCCAATTTGCCAACTTATACTATGCCCTAAAGTACGTACTCTTTTTGTGAAGAAAAAGTATATACTTTTTAAGTATGTAGCAGAATAGTAGGCAAGCTTTGGGACATACTATTTAGTCATAACTTTGTCTTTAATGGTCTCTGTTGCTTAGTTCCGTGCGGCCATTTAAACTGCCTTGTCAATCATCTTATTACAGTTAAAGGGTTAGTTCACCCAAAAATGAAAATTAGCCCATGAATTACTCGCCCTCAAGGCGTCCTCCTAGGTGTATATGACTTTCTTCTTTCAGACGAATCCAGTCTGAGTTATATAAAAAATTGTATTTGATCTTACAAGCTGTTTAATGGCAGTCAGTGGGTGTTGCAGTTCATCAGTCTAATCTAGCTTGCACTCACTGTTGTACACTGAAGCAGTTCCGGGCGGATGACGTAGGATGTCGGCGTTGCGCATGCGCCGCTCAGAAGTGATGAACGCGGAAGCGCATGGGAGATATCAAAACAAACAGGGGAGAGATCAAAACAACGGTCAGGAATTAGAAGTACAAAACGAGGATTTGTAAAGAAGAATGTCGGAGGATTTCGATATAAGCCAAGAGGAGACTGGTTTTCCTTTGCTAAAGTAAGGAAACTTTGCTT